GCAGCATCCACACCAGAATCAAAGAGCATGAGAGACACTGCAGACTAAAACAACCAGAAAAACAGGCAGTAGCTGAACATGCCCTGAAACAAGCTGGACATGAAATCCTATTTCAAAAAACACATAAGTACTGGACAACACCAGTAATCATTATGTTAGACTACACAGGGAAGCCATTCAAATCCACAAACACCAGCACAACTTCAACAAAAAAGGAGAAAGTCTAAAACTCAACAAAGCCTGGCTCCCAGCATTGAACTGAAAAATACAGCCTGCAGAACAGTCAACGAACTCTACCTAGCCACAAGGACCAGGGATCACTACACACAAAAGACTAGCTAATGACACCTATCAATCACAGTGACAGATCATCTCTCCCCCTTATCACAACAATACACACACAACAGAAAAACGCCCTGGTCACCATAATCACCCAATCTCCTGAAAAGGACAAAAAGCTGATCCCACAGCTACAAATACTCAACTGTCCCACACACTACACCAGAACACAGACAGAGTTCTGACTCCTGTCTTCTGAAGATGCCAGCCACAGAAGAAAAACCTCCAAAGAACACAACCAAACAGCCCAAAAAACCCTACAACAACCATGTTTTACTCGCCTTTGATTCCTTTATTGGGAGAAAGATGGCATTAAAATGGAATAAATGAATGTAAGGGGATACAACAAGAAATGACAGATGATACAGAAACTATCCTTTCTGCATAGACAATTCAGTGGGACAACACATGCTAAGTGTAGAATGATACAATCATATGCTTCATACTTATTGCTGACACTTCGTTGGAACAGTTGCAGAGTCATCACTTTGCTCCACCAGACTGTGCAAGTTATCATTATAAATAAAGTGTCCTGGAATTAGAAGTTCTTAAACAAAACAGACATGAACCAGTTGGTCAGTTGGTTACAGAACCTTTATCAACCTCACCCAGTACCATACTAAAAAGGCATCGGTTGCAACCAGACGTGAACTAAATGATAATAAAAAGATCAATAGTCTGAGAGTTTTCATGTACTGTATGCAGTTTTATTAGAAGTATCAAAATTATCTACCATCTCCCATAATAGCCAATACTCTGTTGCTTAGAATAAGAACATTCATAAGTTTCAAACTGTTTCTAACTAGCAAATAAAAAGGCACTGCTGCAATTCTGGAGACAGGCGAGGAGGAATGATAGTGTGGACTCTTAATTTGCTCACTAGAAATGGATTGAAAGTTACACATTTTCTTACACTAAGCAACAAGATTACAGCTATTATTCCTAACTGCACTTTCACTCGTAGTAATTCTGTCACCTCTGTAGATCACACTAAAAACAACAGCATATACTCTGAGCAGTTACTAATGTTTTCAGAATCTCTGGACACATTTGGGATGAACACTAATAGTCAGAAAAGAAACAATTAAGAGGACAGAAGTATGATTTGAATTTATTATCCTGACAGGTTGCAAAGCTTCCCATTAGTTTCAGTTTCTATGGAGTAAGTGAAGTTGCTTGCACAGAAACATGATACTATCAACTCATCTTTTCCATTAAACTCAAACAGTTTAAAGGACTACAAATAAACAGAGAGGCTGACCACATGATCTGTCTAGCCTACTGTTTGGAGTGCTCCAGGGACAGGCTGGCTCACTCTTAAAGACAGCAATCAGACAATATATTTGCTAGAGTGCACCTGTCCGCCTTCAGAGCATTCCTATCTGCACCTTTCTGGCCCATGTCTACTCTTCTGGTGTGGGTACGATTGGTCTGATTTTGATCAATTCCAGCACATGTGATCTCTGGAAATGATCCAAAGGAAGACCCACTCTTTCAATTTGCCAATGCTGTGAAGCGGTTTAATAAGCGAGCCTCTTCAGGATATTGGCAGAGGTCACGGGAAGTAAAATAAATTTTTTGACTGTATTTCTTTCATTTCATTTTTATACCATCCACCTGGCTAAAGGCCACTCTGGGTGGTTTGCAACATATATAAACATGCTCAAAATACAATTTAACAAAACAGAAAATAGAAATAAAATTCAAATAAACAGTACCATCAAAACACAAAAACATTTTGCACAAAACCTTCAAACATTTAAAATGGCAGGCTTGATCAAGTAGGCTAACTAAGCTCACTTGAATCTGCAGGTAGGTTTAACATTTTGGAATGTATGTAATCACTGATGTGCTACATCAGTTTCGTTTGCTTCAGCTTAAAAGGCCAGTCAAGAAACTGCCCACAGCCGAATCTGCAGCAGTGGCTTTGGCTGCAGGCAGTTTCATGACCAGCCCTTTAAGAAAAAGTATTTTTTTTTTCATCTTTAAAATAACTGATACAGTGCATCAGCAATAGTCCATATACAGTAAAAAAGAAATCAATTTCCCCTGCCCCTCTGCCACGGAGCACAATTTACCAACATCCTAAAGTGGCTTGTTTATTAAGCCATGATACTGGCAGGAATCATTTCTGCGTGAATGGAATGGTGAGATCATTTTAATCAAGTTCAACCATCCCAAGCAGCCCACATTGGCTCACTCCTGCTACTTCCACACTTTTCCGCAGGGCTTCTTCTCTTCTTCATTTCCTTTTTACCCACCACCCAGAGCTCATCATAACATCTAAAATGTTTCTATTCAAGCAGACTTTCCTTTAAACAACTGGCTGACCAAGGGGATTTTTAAGAGAGGTTATTTTATTGTATTGTTTTACCTGTGCTTTTAATATTGTTCTTATTTATGAGTTTTAATATATCAGTTTAATACTTTTTCAATACTGTACTGTAATAATTTATTATTTTAGCTTTTAACTTTGTTTCTTTTAATACCATTGCTGGTTCCAGGAAAAGTTAGACATTCTCTGTTTTCTCTATTCTGCTTCTCTCTCACTCACTCTTTCCTCCTCTTTTTCTTTTGTTCGTTTCTTCCCAGTAATGGGGTTTCCGCACCTCCTTACTCCTCCGCTCTCTTTCTGCTGCTTCTCTTGGTATCTTGAACATTACACATTACCTTGTCCAAAGATCTTCTTTTATTCTCTCAACCCAATCCTCCTTTCCTTCTCTTCTCCTTATTTGCCCAGCATTCCACAGAAATTGCCATTTCAGTTTCTGCACCTCTCCCTTTATTGTTCCCCTTTCCCAGCAAAACTGATTTGTCCAACGGGTGTTTCTGTTCTTAAATCTGTTGCTCCTGCCATTAAAGTAGGAGTTTTCTCAGGTCTTGGGATCAGAGGGGACAGTGCATCAGTTGGTACTCCCCCTTTCCCACAGAAAGGCAGCAATCAATCAATCAATTCAACAACTATAATTATGAAAACTTGGTTTGAAAGGCTCCGAGGTCTTATTTGGAAGGGAACAGCTAAAGATAACAACAGAACATTAGTATGAAAAAGACAATTAAGTGGGAAACTGAACATTGAGACAAGAAATGCAAGCTGGCATGCCTGAAGCTTGTTGCCATCCAAACAAGTCTATTGTTTGACCCATAGTAAGAAGTTGTTAGAATTATTAGCTAACTCCAGTAAATTTCAGTGAAATTTCTTAACTGCACATCTACAGTTTTTATATTAACAAAGAATTTCAGTGGTTCTTTCCATTCACCAAATAAATGTGCCCGATTATCAACCCACTTTTTTCTTCATTTGTCTCAGACTACCCTCTTAATTTACTGCCTTTCGTCTGATTTCCAGAATCATCCCCTGCCAGCCCCTTGATTTATACTAAAATGATGGGGAACTGTCAACAGCACTACCTCTCTTACTGTTTATTTCCTTTTCTGTTTTGGGGTATTGATGTTAACAGCAAATCATCCTTAACTAGTATGTATTCATCCATTTACCCTAAGTATGAAAACTTAGTTCTACTGATATAAACAATCCTTAAATGTCTTTCATTCTTATTCAAGAGAATGAAATGTGTTTAACTGGCTAGGTAATGTCAAATTTTATGCTTAGTCATCATGAATTGGCACTTGTAGACCAAAGAGTCAGTAGTAAATGATCAGTGTCTTCACATATTTCTGTTCTTGAGGGAAATCCAAGGTCCAGGGGTTAACCATGTTAGTCTGTTTTCCAGCAGGGCCAAAAGAAAACCATTGTCCAAAGGGCAAAGGGGATGTTTTCTCCAGTTATCTGTACAAAACAGCTTATACAGTACAATATAAGCTGCTAACCTTTACCCACTCCGCAACTACCAGCACTTTCACCCATATTTTCCTCATGTAAGCAAACAATCTGTATTTGTTATGAAGATCAACGTTTTGCAGGAGAGCGCCGTCCAGAAACAATATTGGGCAAAACACCATTATATAAAAAAGGGCTTCGCTTCGCAAGGGCTAATTGTCACTTCATAGTCCGAGGTGACCAAAGAAAGGGGGGTTCATCGGCTACACGCACACATCTCAGGTATTAAAGCTACAGAAGGCCAGCCTTTCCCACATCCTCCTCCATCTGGTCACCCCAATCCAACAGGCAGCCCCACTGCTAGCCTCCCCCCCCCTTTCCCCGCAGGCTCTGCTTTTCTTCCCGCCAGGCTTCCCATCCAACGGATTGCACTTTTAGAGACTCTTCCCCCCACACACACACACACACGCCTGACTCTTGGGGCAATTTTCCCACCACCATCTCCTGGAAGCGACCTCTGGAGCCAGCGACACCCCCCCCCCCCAAGAAGCCCAGCCTTCCCACTACCTCCTCCACTACCTGGTCACCCCAATCCAACAGGCAGTCTCACTGCCATCCTCCCCCCCCTCCCCTTTCCCCGCAGGCTCTCCATCCAACGGATTGCATTTTTAGAGACTCTTGCGCCCATTTCCCACCACCATCTCCTGGAAGCGACCTCTGGAGCCAGCGACACCCCCCCCCCCGACGATGGACGCGCCTACCGGAGAGCATCTCTACAGCTCTCCGGGCTCCGTTGAACAAAGGCAACAGACCGCCAGCAATCCTCGGGCTGGGCGGACCCTCGGAAGAGGTTTAAAGGGAAAGGCTCATTCTTGCGTACCTGCGAGCCCCGCTGCTCTTGCCAGCGCTTCAGCTGTTCGCTGGCAACATCCTCATGGCCGGCCATTTTGTGAGGCTCCAGTTAAAAGACCCCCCCTCCGGCCGCGAGAGTGAGTTCGCGAAGGGCGCTCTTTGAGGAAGACCCGTTGAATAGGGGGAGTCGCGGGCTCTGCGCGCAGCAGCAGCCCAGCCGAGCCAACCCGACCGCGTCTTCACCCTCCGCCGAAGGGCGGTGAGCGCGGGGACACCACCACAGTTCAAGGGGTGGCAGCCCCACCCACTCCGCTCCTCCTCCGCCTCCTCATTGGCCAGTGGGCTCCGGATCGCCTGCCTATTGGATGACCAGCAAACCAGTGCTAGCGGGGGGGGCCTGATTTGTGGTGGGAGGAGAGTCCAAGGGAGGAAAAGGGGGGACGAAAGCGGGAGGGCGAGGTCTTGGAAAAGCCTGAGGGAGGGAAATGGAAAGCGGTGAGAATGCCTCGGGGGAAAGGGAAAGGCGGCTATCCAGCCTCCCCTCTCGTCCAATCCGTTACAGACCAAGCGGGTTCCAGTTTCTGGGAGAGACTCGTGCTGCGCGCCTCTGACAGCCCTGACCATCCAACCTCTTGCGGGTTCAGTCTTCCCTGCTGTATTGCACAAGAAGAGTAAAGATGAGAGGAAAAAACGGGCGGGGGGCATCTCTCGCCCGTTATTTTTTCTTGACAGCAATGGAATCTCACCTGCCACTGGCCATGGAGGGAGCCACTTCGTCTCTGGTTGCTGGTGTATTTTTCTCCTCTGGATGGTACTGCTGGATGCAGTCTCTGAAGACCCACCATCCAGAACCAAGAGTTGGCAGAAGGAGAAGAGGGCCCTCCCATAATTGACAGCACAGTAGAAAACCTGCCTCTGCCTTCCAAAGTTTCTCTCCTTCTGGAAAGCTCTGCCCACCTTGCGCATTTGCTCCCTCTAGGCAGCAGAGCAAGTGTTGTCTTTCCTCTACACCTTGATATCTGGTGTAGAGCAATCTGTCCATTCACTTTGGTGGGGAATGATGGTGATAATGGGAGGACAACTGGACTGCTGCATTGTCCCAATGATGGCAAGCGAGCCGACTTCCTGCATACCTGCCCTCTACTTCTGGACAGCAAGGTGGTGAGAACTGGGCCTGTGAGATTCCTGCAGCATCATTAAGAAGCTGGACAGGCAGAAGTGGCAGTTCTTACACACACATCACAGGCCAACATGTTGTCAGGTCCCAATCCTCTATGCTGTGCTGTACAGAGAGAGCACAAGATAAAAGACACAATCTCTTGATGCTAGAGTAGTTCGTGCCTCCTCACTACCAACCTTTGCCTTTTCACAGACCTTACCAGAGGCACAGCGCACAGCCCTCCTCACAAACATACAAAAAGTGATTAAGTAAGATAGTACTTGGTGGGGTTTCTAGTACTTTTAAGTTATGGGATGTATGGAGAACTATTTTGCTGCAGTGTGCAAATAAAAACAGGAAATGCTAGGTCCAATCATTGTCATCCAGATCTAGTTCATGTATGTCCTGTAAAATACACATCATATCTATGCACACAGTTGTGCATACCTCTTCTAGTGAGCCATGTGCTCTGGAAGTAAACATTAAAATTTTACTCTAGGTTGCAAATAGGTAGTTGTTCAGATGTTGCTGCACAGCAACAGGCTTCCCTCAGCCTTAACTAGTACAGCCAACAGTGAAAGAACATGGAAATTCCAGTCCAAACACATTGGTATTGTGCTCTCTATCCTCACTTTATCTCTTTTTCTTGTGGATAGCACTAAAGAATATTAAATATAAATTTGGATATAAATATTACAGTACAGTAAGACTGATACCTAAATAAACATTGGTATTGTGTTCTCTATCCTCACTTTATCTTTTTTTTCTTGTGGATAGCACGAAAGAATATTAAATATAAATTTGTTTATAAATGTTACAGTACAGTAAGACTGATACCTAAATACAACTGGAACCAACAATATAAGAAAACACTCAAAACATAGCTACCAATTCTGAGTATGGGAAGCACCTTCAGAATTCAGATGCTAAGTACATCTGTAAATATCTACCTATGGCAGGACACTCATTTGAAAATTAGTACAGTACAAGATGTACTGTACTAATTTTGGACCAAGAAGATACGTGGTTTGAGAGAAGGGTCAGGGAGACGATACATGTGCACATAGAAAATTCATCACTTAACAGGGATGGAGGCTTTAGACACAATCTGACTCATATTTATCATGCTGCCGTTTCATCCGTCCCCATAAAGCTCAGGATCACACCTACCCAAAAGACCACTGTTGATGACTGTTAGCGACCCATGACAATAAGTGGAGGAGGACTGCAGAAGTGGGATGTTCTCACACACACAAACACACACACACTGTCCTTTGTCCATCTAACAAGCCCATTCAAACCAGGGGGAAGTGAAACTAACACGGAGGATAGATCAGGGGTCTCCTACCAAGTCTCCTCAGATGGAGGATAGATCGGGGGTCTCCTACCAATTCTCCTCAGACTGAAGAAGCTACTTGGATGAGTAGCAAAACATTTCAACGTTTAAAAAAAGACATCAGTTGCCATTACTCAACTTCTAGATAACCTCACCTGGACGACGTAAAAAAGACATCAGTTGCCATTACTCAACTTCTAGATAACCTCACCTGGACGACTGAGAATCTTCACAGATATACATAATTTATAATCTCCTAGACTCAATGCAACTCCATTTGTCACTGCTCACCAAAGTCTTAATAAATCACTTAATGCCTGACTAGAACTTGAAAAAAATGGGTACTCTGCTGGCACTGCTAAGCATGATGGTCTGTCTCAGTAATTTATGACCTTGTGTTGACATCATGGGAGTAATGCAATTCAATTTGAAATGTGTGAACAAAAAAGTCAATGCTTCTATCATGGGTCATGAGCTTATGTCATATATTTTTACTTTACCTTTTTTCTTTAAGGGTCCAAGGCAACTTTCATCATTAAAAGAAATATTTAATGCTGAAAACAACAAGTATATACTTACTAAAAAGGATACCAAATACCACATTAAAAGACAGTAAACAAACTCCTAAAACCACATTCAAGGCAGTAATGCACAACCATCCATTTAAAAATCTCCCTGTGACAGCCAGTCATTAAGGGAAAGCTTGCCTGAAAAGAACAAGGACTACCAAGGATAGGATTCAAAACTAGTTTGGACATATTAACTTCAGAACATGGACTGGGATCCATCAATCAGCAAGGTAAGAATACACCTGGCCAAATAACTGCATCCCCCCCAAAAAAATATTATGCAAATATAATTAGGTACGGACCTTCTCCCGAAGTTTTGGGGTTGTTCTTGCCTCTTCTTGTCACAAGCTACCTCTGCCATGAAGTTTGATGGTATGGTAGAAGTCCCTACCCTGGGATGCATAATTACATGACACAGTATGAATTGATTTATGCAAGGAAATCCACACTATTAAGATTGCCCTTCATCCTGACTAAGCTGTACCCCTTTTGTTGCTTCACTCCTTGTTTGTCTGCTTTGTTTAAAAATGCTACATAAACCTATGACTTCAGTGTTATTCATCCAATTCTTTTTATCCCACTTTGCAGAAGTAATCTCCACTGATTACAATCAAGGATAGATGGCAAATGATATGTCCTACCTCACAAGGGCTGGGAAGAATGCATTTGGCCACAGCATAAAGAACTTTATCAGGAGGGCTTTAAACTGAACTGGAAAGGGGAGGGAGATGCAAGCTCAGAGGTAAAGATAGATGAAGGCTTATGCACAATAAAAGGAACAGACTGAGCAGTTCTAATAGGGTCCAATAATAATCTTCATAAACATGTACAAAGGAAAGCAGGCCGTAAATCACACAATCTCAGGTGTCTATATATAAAGTATGCCAGGAATAAGGGAAACACAAGAATAACCTGACATCTTAATTCAGGAGGATTAATATCAGGAGTGGCCTGATTATTCCTGAGGGCTATAAGTAGCAGCTGTGAGTTCTGGGAGAGCCTTTTGATTCCTGACTCCAGGCAGAGCACATCTGACAAGTAAAGCTCAAGGCAGACCCAGGGAGCTCGTGATCAGGAGAGCAAACAGGGAGTTCTCTGCGGGAGGCCAAGGTGGAGGCCCCTAACCAAGTTTTTTGGTTCCTTTGGGCATACGTACAACTACATTTAAACTAGCAAAGCAAGAGGGACAGGTATCCTAAACAAATAGTTGAAAGTAAAAAAGCTAGAAGGGATTATGGAAGGTGGAGACAACTCAGTTGTGGTTACCTGCAAAGTTTGTGCTAAAGTTTGTCTTTCTTCCTGAGTGTAAAATGCTGTATACATGTAACAAATGTAAGCTTGTGGCACTGTTAGAAGACAGAGTCAGAGACCTGGAGCAGCGAGTAGCCACACTCAAGGCTATAAGGGAAGATGAAGTCTACATTGATAGAACTCTTGAGCAGCAGCAGCTGTCAGAAGGGGCACTGCTGATGGAAGAAAACCAAAACTGTGCAGTGCAGGAAAATGCTGTAGAGCAATGGTCCCCAACCTTGGGCCTCCAGATGTTCTTGGACTTCAACTCCCAGAAATCCTGGTCAGCAGAGGTGGTGGTGAAGGTTTCTGGGAATTGTAGTCCAAGAACATCTGGAGGCCCAAGGTTGGGGACCACTGCTGTAGAGGCTACAAACATAGTGGAGGAACCACCATGGAAAAGAATCACAGTTAGCAGCAAAAGAAGGAAAAGCCACTCTTTCCCAGTGAAACTACAAAACCGCTTTCAGTTTCTTAAAGAAGAGTCTGTCGGACAGGATGCAGAGGAGACCCCACAGGAGGACATGAGTAGAGCTGAAGCACAGCAGAATACAGTCACTGAACCTACACCCTACAAAAAGAAGAGGAGAGTAGTTGTAATAGGGGACTCCCTACTACGTGGAATTGAGACCGAAATATGCAGGGAGGATCCATGGACTCGCCAGGTATGCGGTCTTTCTGAAGGATGGGTAAGAAATGTGATGGACGGATTGCCATCACTTGTAAGACCTACAGATACATGTCCCTTTCTTCTTGTCCATGTGGGAACAAATGACACAGCCAAGAGGAGCTACTGAGAGATCATACCTGACTTTGAAGCTCTGGGAAGGAAACTCCAGGAGTTGTTGTGGGTTTTTTGGGCTCTTTGGCCATGTTCTGAAGGTTGTTCTTCCTAACG